TAACTGAATTGGGTCAAACCAATGAAACTTCTGTCCCAGACCCCTTCCTGGCTCAAGTTAAATCAGAGTCCCCAGCATCCCAGCATGCTTTCCAGCCCTGGGATAGGCTGGACTGTGCGGTCTGCTCCAGCAGAGAAGGGTTGGGTGGCAGGGGGCAGGGACTACCCCCCCTCCCCCAGCAAACCACAGCTGGGGTCAGGCCAGGGAGCGGGGTTAAACTTCCTTTCCCCCAAGTACAGAGCTATCCTGCCCTACTAAAAACTTACTGTTGGCTGTGACTGTGGACTACAAATCCCAGAGGCACCTGGAAGCAGGAAGAGGAAGTGATGAGGAACCCTGCAGAGTCCTGCTGTTGTGATTTTGGACTGCAAATTCCAGAGACCTCAGGGGCATCAGGAAGAGGAAGCAATACACAGCCCATGCTGGCTATATGCCAGGGAGGCATACTCTAGTGCCCTTCAGCTTCTGGCCTGAGCCACTGCAGACATGTGGCTGCATTTCCTGAATCAAAAGTGAATGTCTGGCTAGTTGTTTCTCAGTTTAATCTCTGCATCTGAGATTAACCTGCAAAGACTGAATCAATTCAGCTTCAGGCTTTTTGACTGTCTGTACTTAGCTCAGATCACTCCTGTGGAAACCCTGAGCTAAAACGAGGTAATGGGAACCCCAGCTGAATCAAAGGAAGCTAACAGTGGGATTTGATGGTGATCTCTACTAAGGACTAATCTGTTCCTTGTCAAATGCAGAGCTCTTGCGCACAAATGCATTCAGTGCCCATGCTTAACCAATGGGTCTAGTCTTACATGCTGAAAGGGGCAAATAACTAGAGGCAGATGAGCATGTGGGACATTTCTAACATTTTTTGTGTTGTTCTTTGTTGGCTCTTATTCCTCCTGGAGACATACTCAGTTCTGGTGACTCTACCAGGAGCATAATTTTGCCTTTGTTTTCACTCAGTCTGAGAGCCTAAAATACAGTACTACCTTCTTTGAATGTCACCCCACTACCTCCCTCCCCAAAAGGAATTCCTTGCAGGGAGTAGTCAGCCTAGAAATCCAGCAAATCATTTGCTTACTCAAGTTAATAATGCAGTGCATGTGTTTAAAACAACATAAGAATACTTCTGCTTATTTGCTGTGGGACAAACAGCAAGGAGATGTAGTAGAGAGCATCAGGCAGAGGGCAAGCCGGCAAGCCATGCTTGGTTAGGAAGTTGCAAACATTAAAAAGGGATGGGATGTTATTCGTTTCTTAACGGAGGACTCTATCCCCTATGAATATAAAACATAATCCTCTCTCTTTTAACAGCTCAACCTTCATTTTGCCAAGATGACCTGCTTGGTGGTTTGGCGCTTTCTGCTTCTAGGTCATACATGGGCTAAACTGCAGACCACTGCAAAACACTTTTTCCTCCTAAAGTCAGGCCACACTGCCTCCCCATCACTCTAGAATAGGAACTGAATCTGGACTGTAGGTATACAGTCTTTGGTAACTGCCATGGGCTGCAGGGTATGGTGTTGCTAATTCTTCAGGTGGTGCTTTTCTCTGAGAGCCAGTACCAAGTCCTTGCCTTGGGATGGTATTATGAATTACTGCAGCTGATGAATGAACACACCAAAAATTATTTACCTGCTGAATGCATCCTTTTCCTGCTTCCTAAATTCCTCTAGCAGGCTGCAATCTCTTCATACATATCCACTGAAAACCTAAACTTACCCGTTACAAATTTTGCAGCATTCAGTGATGTTCTTCAGTGACTTATTTTATACTCTTTGAACTAATTATGAACACTTCTTGGCAAATAATACTTTTTGAACTGGGTTGGTTAGTTTTGATTGGCCAGATAAAGCACATGGTATTGTTCTTCTTTGGATGAGTGAATAAGGGCATAAAACCGAAGTCCTGACTGTTTCTGGACATTAAAGACCTCAAGTAATTTTCTGCATGACTGCTAACCACTGCAGTTTCACTTGGATATGCTTATATTCTTCAATCCCTTCTTAAAATAAATGATGTAGTAGCATTGTGCCCTTTGAGCATCTGCCATACTTCTGCTCTGTGGTGGCTGCATTTCGATGGTGGGTAAAGAGATGCATACTGTATAGGTATACCTTGTAAAATATTCAGACATTTTTTATGGGCTGAAAGGCTCTGTATAAATGGAAGATATTTTACCAAGTCCCTTTTTTTTAAATCTGAAAAGACTGGCACCTCTGCCATGCAATGTGTGAACCTGGAACAGAAGTAGTGTTTCCTTCAAACCCGCTGATTCTTTCTACAATTGCATGGAAATATACCATCATCTGGAATTGGAATTAAAAGCAACAGGCTTGCCTCTCCCTCAGCCTCCTTCAGCTTTTGGCTTTAGCACCCAATGCGTATTTTAAAGCTCTGCTTTTTAAGTAGGTGGCAAATAGTGCTGGAAGGATTTGGTATGTGCAGTATTTTTATGCAGCTCCCTTTTCTCTCACTTTTCATTGTTTTTCCCTCCGGAATATCTCCTTTAACATTCCACTCATAAAGCTCTTCAAAGGAGGGACTATATTTGAATAACTGTGTTTAAAATCTGTTCTCCAGTCAAAGGCCTCAGACAGGAAAATAAATAACAGGGCTGAATTTTTCTGCCCCCGTGGCTGGGTTTCTGAATCAGAATTCAAACAGGTGTCTGGGAGCTGGCGGCCGATCCTTTGAACTACAGGAGAGGCTCTGCCTTCCTCAAACGGGCCTTAAATTTTTACATCACACTGGCTGCTAGATTATTGTTTCCCCTCTGTATGCTATAAATTTAATAAACTGGGCACTGGCCACCCCACTTTTGGCTTTGAAGGACCTACAAATGCATTGGTTTTCTCATTTCTATTGAGCGTTATTCGGTCTCAGGGTGGTTGTTGTCTTTTGTGAGAGTGAGGAAGTGTCGGAAAGCTGAATGTTTGTATCCTGAGAAAACACTTCATCTGTTGGTTCAGGCCTTAGGAACGACTAGGAAATATATAGGGCAGGATTTGCAAAAGCACTCAGTATTGGCCACCTCTGCTTCCACTGAAATCAGTAGGAACAGAGCTAGGTCAATGGTGAGCCTTTTGAAAACCTTCCTGTGTGGACTGAGTTAGCAGGTATTACTCTGGTTCTTTATGGGCAGGTGCCCAGTTCTCAGTTTTATAGCCCTGCTTGTGTTGGCCTCTCTCAACAGAATGGCCAATGAACAAAGGAGACGATGAACATCTTTATACCTCTTTTAAACCTTCAGTTCTGGTTTGAGCCACATCAGCAAGGGCATGTTAAGAAGCTACTAAGATATACTGGATCAGTGGTATAACTAGAGCATGGTGAATAAGGAAAATGCACTAGGCACTGAGTTTGGTGGGGAGGGAGGGTGAAAAGCAGGGGCTGCTGCTGGCAGCCATGTGATCACAATTGTATGGCAACCGGAAGCCACTGCTGACCTTATGCTGCTGTACTGGATTATACCAGTGCCCAATGTGCTTTTAATATGATCAGAGAAAAGTGTGTGAATGGTGGTCTACCATCACCCTAACATTTGCCCATCCCCCTGTCAAGGAATATATTCTGCCTCCAACAAGGGGCCATCCTCGTTGCTCCCATAAGGGAGATGGGAGAAGAGTTGCTCTGAGTTGCTGTGCTTTATCTGCTCCATCCGTCCTTCTCTTTCTCTGTGAAAATGGTTTTGGCTTCTAAGGGGAGACAAGAGAGTCCTGCCTGCTTCTCCCAGCAGCCCCGATTGGCTGCTCTTTAGAAGGATGTGGGCAAATGGGGAAAGCAGCCAATCAGAGACACTCTAATCTTCTTAAAGGAGATACTAAAAATTTGTGTTCATCAACAACCTAATTCACTTTTCGGAAATGTTATTTTTTGGATGTGGGGCCCACTGTCACCTCAGACACTCCTTGTACTACACATGCTACAGCCAATCCAGGCATAAGCACACGCCTTTGCGAGGGCTGCCCCTTTCATCCCATAGATCACGAGTCATTTTATAATGGATAATATATCAAATGCTTACCAAGAGGGAATGCTTACCAACTGGGAAAATTCAAATGCTTACCAACTGGGAATTGCACTCCTCAAATTCAAATATATCAAATGCTTACCAACTGGGAAAATCACCTCCCTCCATCTCATGTCTGCTGCTATGGAGAAATTAAATCAACCTAGCTTCATTGCCAAAGTTTGTTCACACCCCATTTCCAATGCTCCCTGGTGAGCCAGAGAAAGACAGCAGCACGGTATTGGGCGATGCGTTTGGATGAACCAAACGAAAGATGAAAGAAAACCTTGCTGCCAGTGGCTAACCGTACTTCCTACCAAGAAGTCCACTTTGTCCTTCTGTGGTGGCATAAAGACGGTCAGGTTTCATGTGCCTTCTAGATATACAGCGAATCTAGCCTCTCTATCTGTAACTAGTCTACATATTTTTTTTTTTAGTATACACTCAGTCTCTTGGCTTCATCAAGATATTCTCCTTTCCTCAACCTCAAATCCCAAAGAAGAGGTCCTGCAAAATTCAACACTTCAACATGAGCATATGGAGCAACAGTTCTCTTTTCCTCCCCAGGAACCAGCTGCTAATCTAAACCCAGATGATGCGCATACTCCAAAAATTCCCTGGAGAGTTAGGGTCAGAAATGACACCTGGTAGCTTTTGTTACGACACGCAAAAGGAGATTGCATAGAGTGCCAGCGGTTGCCTGCAGAGCAGCCATTTGTTAACAACAAGAATCAAAGAAGAAAAGCAAGTCTCATTTGCTAACACATGCTAGAAAGGCTTAAGGCAGGCTATGATGGGAAGCACATATACATCAAAGGGGAGGAGCATCTTAAACTGAACCACCTGTAAATAGACCCTTTGGGGGGACAAGTCATTGCCTATCAAAACACCCAGATCACCTAGTGGCCATGAATACAGGCTGGTTTTGCCCAAGTCTGGGGCAGACACTTGGTAAGGGGAGCTTAAGGTAAAAAAAGGGAGCAGGCAGACCTACCTTTTTGGTCTTCACTGTTGAGGCGCAGCAGTCCCCACCATCATAATTGCAGAAGGCTCGGTTGTTGATAGAATCACAGTAGTTGTCTCCCATGAAAGGCTGGAAAGTTAAACAGTACAAAGATAGTGAGAACAGGGATGTGGGCTCTGGAGGAACTCAGCAAAGGCCTAGGGCAAGCTGAAAGCAAGGACCATTCTTAATCCCCAGGCAGAGCAGTACAGCATCTCCATCCAACAGCCACAGCCACTTTTCGCACTTTCCTTCCAAGCAGGCAGGACAGACAGAGAGTTAGAAGAAAAAGAAGTGACCCCCCCTTTGCTTGTAAAATGTGAATAAGTCTGACATTTTCAAGAGAGGCCACTGATGTGGGGAAACATGGACATAAAGGAACTAAAACCTATAGTCACTTTGGACAGTTGAGGTCTAGTTATCTAAGTGTAAATGCATGGGAAATAGAGAAGAGTAGGACTGGTCGGTTTAGGAAGCATAAGGGTATTCAAATTGACAGAGGAAAGAGGTGGGTTTGGAGCCTAGACAAGGACTCTGGAACTCCAATGGTCTGATTCTCATCCTGCCCCTGCCCCTCTATATGACCTTGGGCAAGTCACGTAATCTCCCCGTGCCTCAGGCTTCACAGCTGTCAAACTGGGGTAATTATAAGTGTTCATGGAAGGCTGTAAATGTTCATTAAGTAATGTTCTTAATCACCTCAAAGAAAAAAATACGAATTATTATAATGGCTGTATGGGTCTGAATAATAATCATTACTTTAAAAACAGCAGTCTTTTGCTTCCCTCTTTTGCAGAGCAGATTGAATTTGCTCTTAAATTCATCACTCCAGTGCAGCAAGAACCTCTCATGGAAACCAAAGTCTTTCTACATTTGTAATTGGTGAAACTAAGGCCCATTTGAAGGAGGTAACCGTGAGTCAAATACGTGCATGTACATATATGCATATGCATATATATGCACATACATACATACATGCACACATTGTAAAGGGAAGAGACAAGCCTGCTAATAAAGCAAGCAGAGATATACTGTGACATAGTTGTAAACCAGATGCAAGATGTGTGCAGATGATTAATGGAACCGGTCAGGAGAGACTAAGGTCGTGACTGTGGACTACAATGTAATTTTTGCCACATTCTTGGCCAGTGCCAAGTGGATGCTGTTTGAAAGCACCTTCAGTCAATCTGCTCCAATGTGCAAGTCCACTTATAACCTTCATGGCGAAATATCCAGCACTGCTACACTGGGCCCTCAGCAGCTGGCAATTTTATGGCCCCCATGCACCTTACAATTTGTTCGATAGGGGCAGATCCCTTTGAGTCAACACGTCTCCGTTAATGAAACTATGGCCTTTCCTAGAAGAAACCATCTCTGGGGAGTGAACTGGGAAGGTGGTCAAGATTTTATGTCAGGGTTTTATACTAACTGCAATACTAGATATTTTTTTTTCTTTATGATGGATGCCTCCAGAGAACAAACTATGAGGACTTTGGCATGCTTTTCTCATAAAGGGCTATGACCAGGCTCATAAATACTCTAAAAAGACACCATGAAGTTCTTGGACTCCAGACTCTGTTGTTGTTATTGATTTGTAAATTTAAATACTTCCTGGTAGTGTTGGAAACCCAAATGGCAGCAATGCTGGATGAGTGCAGAGTGGAAAAAAAAGTCAGGAAGTGAATTGACTAATCTAGTTTCATTTTTCAAAACATTTTGTGTGCAAAAAGTAAGCAAAGAGTGTAAATAGGGAAAATAAATCGCAACGGTAGGGTCAGATACCTCGCTGTTGTAAATCGGATCAACTCCCTTGACTTCAGACAGCTATACTGATTTGCGCTGACAAAGGCTTTGGCCCACAGAGTCTTTTCCAATTTCATTATTTAATATGCTAACGAAGGAAAGATTTTTTTTTTTTTTTTTTTTACAGATATGATTTTTATCTTGACAAGGCCACTTTGAAAAATGTAATATTTGGCCACTCTCCCAAAAAACTTGTATGGGCTTTTCCTCCATTTCCTTTTTTGCTTCCTTATCATTGCTTATTGCCAAAGTATCTGTTTGTCAACACAGGTTTTCATTTCAGTTCTCCACCCTGAAGTTCCT